CTGTGGAGCTGCTTGGGAGTTTATCCCCGAGGGCGCTGCTCACAACTCAGACCGCTGCTGTCCGTGGGCTCCCAACCCCCATCTGGTGCCTCTGCAATCCTACCAGGATCGAGTCAGTGTCCCTGGTTATATGCTCCTCGTAAGCTGCTTTTCTGTTGCCTTTTCCTGATGATTTGTCTTTATTTTAGTTGTAATTCCAGTTTGGTCCTGGGAGATGGTCTGTGTAGCTTCTATTCACTCTGCCGCCATTTTGGAATCTCTCTTTATTGATTTTAGAGAGAGAGGAAGGGAGAAGGTGAGAGACAGAGACATCAATAAAAGAGAATATCAATTGGCTGCTTCCTGCATGTCCCCCCCCACACACACACACTGGGGATTTGGCCCACAACTTGGGCATGTGCCCTGACTGGGAATCAAACCAGCAACCTCTTGGTGCATGGGTCAGTGCTCAACCACTGAGCCACAGCAGGCAGGCTTGACACCTGATATGGCAGACAGAAAATCAAGGAGACAGAAGCCTTAAAATGACACACTAGATCAAATGGATTTAATTGATATCTTCAGAGCATTTCACCCCACAGCAGCAGAATATACATTCTTTTTCAAGAGTCCATGGAATGTATTCTAGGGTAGACCACATGTCAGACACAAAATAAGTCTCAATAAATTTAAGAAGATTGAAATCATATCAAGGACCTTCTCTGACCATAATACTATGAAATTTGAAATCAATCAGTGAAAAACACACAAAGATATGGAGACTAAATAACATGTTATTAAGCAATGAATAGGTTAACAGTGAGATTAAGGAAGAAATCAAAAGAATCTTGAAACATTTAAAATGAGAACACAACACCCAAAATCTGTGACACAGGAAAAGCAGTCTTAAAAGGAAAATTCAGCCCTGGCCAGTTTTGCTCAGTGGTTAGAGCATTGGCCTGTGGTCCAGAGAGACCCTGGTTCAGTTCCCACTGAGGGCACGTACCTCGGTTGCAGTTTGTCCGTGGCCCTGGTTGGGTCGTGCGGGTGGCAACCACTCGATGTGTCCCTTTCACATCGATGTTTCTCTCTCTCTCTCCCACTCTATCTGAACAAAAAAATGGAAAAAAATGTCCTCAGGTGAGGATAAAAAAAAAAAAGGAAAATTCATATCATTAAAGGCCTATCTCAAGAAATAAGAAAAATCTCAAACAAACAATCTAACTTTACACTTAAAGGAACTTGAAGAATAACAAATAAAGCCCAGAGCGAGTAGAAGGAAGGAAATAATAAAGATAAGAGCAAAAATATACAGAATAGAGTTTTCAAAAAACAATACAAAAGATCATTGAAACCAAGAGCTGGTTCTAATGTAAACAAGATTGACAGACTTTTAACCAGACTCATCAAGAAAAAAAGACAGAGGACCCAAATAAATAAAATCAGAAATGATAGAGAAGTAACAGCTGACATTAAAGAAATACTGAGGATTGTAAGAAAATAGTATGAACAACTATATGCCAACAAGTTGGACAAATCTGGATGAAATGGATAATTTCCTAGAAACATGCAGTATTCCAAAATTTTATCAGGAAGAATCAGATAATCTGAATAGACAAATCACAAGTAGTCAAATTGAAGCAGTAAAAACAAACAAACAAACAAAAAAACTCTCAACAAATAAAAGCCCTGGACTGGATGGCTTTACAGGTGAATTTTACAAAACAGTCAAACTATTCCACAAAATTCAAGAGGAGGAAAGACTCCCAAGCTCATTTTACAAGGTCAGCATTATCCTAATTCCAAAACCAGGTAAAGGCATGACAAAGAAAAAAAAGTATAGGCCAGCCCTGGCCAGTTTGGCTCAGCGGTTAGAGCGTCAGCCTGCGGTCCGGAGAGACCCAGGTTCGGTTCCCGCTAAGGGCATGTACTTCGGTTGCAGTTTGTCCCCAGCCCTGGTTGGTCGTGCGGGTGGCAGCCACTCAATGTGTCCCTTCATGTCGATGTTTCTCTCTCTCTCTCCCTTCCTCTCTCTCCCTCCCACTCTATCTGTACAAAAAATGGAAATATATCCTCGGGTGAGGATAAAAAAAAAAAAAAAAGTATAGGCCAATATCCCTGATGAACATAGATGCTGAAATCCTCAACAAAATATTAGCAAACCAGATCCAGCAATACATTAAAAAGATCATACACCATGACCAAGTGGGATTTATTCTGGGGATGCAAGATTGGTACACTATCTGCAAAACAATAAATGTGATACACCACATAAACAAAATGAAGAATAAAAACCACTTGATCATATAAATAGATGCAGAAAAAGCATTTGTTAAAATTTAGCACCCATTTATTATTAGTAGTAGTATTAGTATTATTTTTAATCCTCTCCTGAGGATATTTTCTCAAATAACTTCAGATAGAGTGGGAGGGGGGCAGAGAGAGGGAGAGAGAGAGAGAGAGAGAAAAAGAAACATAAATGTGAGAGGAACACATCGATTGGTTGCCTTCCGCACGACCCTGACCAGGGCCGGGGATGAACTGAAACTGAGGTATGTGCCCTTGGCCAGAATCAAACCCGCAACTGTTTGGGCCATGGGCCGACGCTCTAACCACTGGGCAAAACTGGCCAGGGCAATCCAGCACCCATTTATGATAAAAACTCTCAGCAAAGTGGAAATAGAGGGAACATACCTCAACATAATAAAGGCCATATATGACAAACCAACAGCCAACATCATACTCAATGGGCAGAAACTACAAGTGTTCCCCTTTAGATCAGGAACAAGACAGGGATGTCTGCTTTCACAACTCTTATTCAACATAGTACTGGAAGTCCTAGCCACAGCAATCAAACAGGAAGAAGAAATAAAGGGCATAAAAATTGGAAAGGAAGAGCTAAAATTGTCATTATTTGCAGATGACATGATACTGTATACAGAGAACCCTAAAGATTCCATGAAAAACTTCTAGAATTGATAAATAAATTCAGTAAAGTAGCAGGATTTTAACTGATTTTAGAGAGAGGAAGGGAGAGAGAGAGAAGCATTTGTGCAAGAGAGAAACATCGATTGGTTGCCTCCCACAAGCACCCCAACCGGGGATTAAACCTACAAATTGGGTATGTGCCCTGACTGGGAATCAAACCCACCACCTTTTGGTGTATGGGATGGTGTTCCAAACAGCTGAACTACACAGACCAGGGCTAGGTTTAACAAAAAAAATATATGTTTTCATTTATTTTTTTAGAGAAAAAAGAAGGGAAAGAGAGAGAACAAAACACTGATGTGAGAGAGAAACATTGATTGGTTGCCTCCCACACGCCTCCAACTCAGGATTGAGCCTGCAACTTGGGCGTGTACCCTGATCAAGAATCGAACCGGGCCCTAGCCGGTTTGGCTCAGCGGTTAGAGCGTCGGCCTGCGGTCCCGAGAGACCCGGGTTCGGTTCCCGCTAAGGGCATGTATCTCAGTTGCAGTTTGTCCCCGACCCTGGTTGGGTTGTGCGGGTGGCAACTACTCGATGTGTCCCTTTCACATCGATGTCTCTCTCTCTCTCTTTCTCTCCCCCACTCTATCTGAACAAAATATCGAAAAAAAAATGTCCTCAGGTGAGGATAAAAAAAAAAAGAATCGAACCGGGACCTCTCAGTCCATGGAATGATGCTCAATCTACTGAGCCACACCAGCTGGGCCATTTAACTTTTTGAGGAAACTCCAGACTGTTTTCTACAGCAGCTGCCCCATTTCACATTCCTACCAGCAATGTATGTGGGTTCCGATTTCTCCACATCCTCTCCAATATTTATTTTCTGTTTTATTTTATCTTAAAAAAAGTATAACCATTCTAATAGGTATGAGTGGTATCTGATTGTGGGCTTAAATAGTTTTTAATATTTAAATTACAGTTGACATTCAATATTATATTAGTTTCAGGTGTACAGCATAGTGGTTAGACATTTATATAATTTACGAAGTGTTCCCCTGATAATTCTAGTACCCACCTGACACCATACATAGTTACTACAGTGTTATTGACTATATTCCCTATATGTACTTGTACATCCCCTTAACTCTTTTGCAATTGCCAATTTATACTTCTTAATCCCTTCACCTTTATTACCCAGGCTCCCAATCCCCCTTTCATCTGGCAACCATCAGTTTGTTCTCTGTATCTATGAGTCTGTTTCTGTTTGATATTTTGTTCTTTAGATTCCACATATAAGTGAAATCATATGGTAGTTGTCTTTCTCCATCTGACTTGTTTCATTTAACATAATACCCTAAAGGTCTATCCATGTTGCAAATGGCAAGATTTCACTCTTTTTTATGACTGTGTGATATTTCATTGTACCAGTTCTTTATCCAATTGTCTATCGATGGACACTTAGGTTACTTCCATATCTTGGCTGTTGTAAATAATGCTGTTGTGAATATAGGGGTGCATGTCTTTTTGAATTAGTGTTTTGGATTTCTTCAGATAACTACCCAGAATTGGAATTGCTGGGTCATATGGTAGTTCTATTCTTTAATTTTTAGAGGAAACTCCATACCATTTTCCATAGTGGCTGCACCAATATACATTCCCACCAACAGTGCACAAGGGTTCCCTTTTCTCCAGATATTCCCTAACACTTGTCATTTTTTGTCTTTTTGATAACAGCCATTCTGACAGGTGTAAGATGATATCTCATTGTGGTTTTTATTTGCATTTTCCTGATGATTAGAGACGTTGAGCATCTTTTCATGTGTCTATTCGCCATCTGTATGTTCTCTTTGGAGAAATGTCTATTCAGGTCCTCTACTCATTTTTAATTGGATTGTTTATCTTTTTGGTGTTTTATTGTGTTTTTGATTAGCATTTCCCTAGTAACATGATGGTGAGCATCTTTTCATGGGCTTGTTGGCTAGCCATTTTTATGTCTCTGGGGGAAATGTAAGATGCACAGTTTTTTTATTTGGAAAATAAAATTTTAGCTGGATCAGTATGCCACTTCTTCAGCATGCTCTTGTCTCTTTCAGAAACTTTGAAGAACCAACGTATTGATGTGGCCACCAAGGATGGTACATTTTCCCCAGCACAAATCTCTCAAGACACCAGTCTTTTCCTATGGACAGGGTGTTCACTCTTTTGGCCACAGGTTTCTTCCCACTTGGAGCAAGGATAAGCCATGTTGATGGGGGGAAAAAGAGTTTCCCAAGCCTCCTGTTCAGGTGAGTACCAGTCAGACGTGAGCCATTGGGATGGAGGCAGTGTCTTGGGGACTATGTCAGAGATCTCTCCACAGAGGCCCTAATTGTAGAAGGAGAAAGCCTAGGTTCTTGGTGGCACTTTCTCAGATACCTTCAGTTCATCCTCCAGCAATGTTCTTTCACATACTGCCTCCTCCCCCTCTTGGGTTCAGAGAAAAGAACTTACCATTTTTTTGGTGTGTGAAGCCATTCTACCTGTGTTTCTAATTACAATTCTTTCCTCTCTCTTTTCTTGATAATTCTTTCTCTCTGTCATTCTTATCCCCTTTTTTGTAGAGCAATTCCTTCTACATTTATGTTTTCTCTATTTTCCACCATTGTCAAACATTTTACACTGCATCCTGTCCTCAGCAGATCAGCTTACTGATCCATCTCTCATTTTCCTGTCCTTCCCTCTTGTTGAAAGCTAATACTTGACCATGAGTCCACATATGCCTTGTATATTTTGGAAGTACATATGTCACACCATTCTTCAATTAGAAGTTGTATTCTTTTTTCTTTTTTTTTGCCCCCTCAAGTAATTTCAGATCAGGAGACTGGACTGAAAAGTCAAGATTTCATTTACAAGAAGGTGGTTTTACAGGAAGAACCACCTGGTAGTATGAATATTATAAAGCTCCCCAGAGAAGACTGGGGCTGTGGTCAACTTGAGGAGAACCATGAAGATCCCCAAGGCTTTTGAGGCAAGTGGCATACATCCAGTTAAAGGCATTTGCTTTAGAAAAGGCTACTGCCTGGCATGAAATTGGGGAAAACTGTAATCTGAGCACAGACCTTCTTTTATCACAGGGAGTTTCCGTAGGAAAACACTTCCATGACTGTGACCTAAATATTAAATGTTTGGTAGCTAATCCATTTTTAAACCATCATCAGATGGGATATACAGACCAGAGACCCTGTGAAAATATTGCATGTGGGAAAGACCTCAGCCAAAATTGCCCCCTTATAAAACACAAAAGAACTCAAACATCTGCATATGCAGAACGTGGGAAATCAGTTAATGATGATATGACTCTTACAATACATAACAAAATTAATATGGTGAAGAAGCCCTATGAATGTTTTCATTGTGGGAAATTGTTTAACTGGAGGCATTCACTAAGTGAACGTCAGAGAATTCACACAGGAGAGAGACCATACGAATGTCGGGAATGTGGGAGGACTTTTACGCACAGCTTAACTCTCACTCGACATTTGAGAACCCATACTGGAGAGAAGCCCTATGTGTGCAGTGAATGTGGGAAGGCCTTCAACAGGATTTCATCTCTTACCCAACATCAGAGGATTCACACAGGGGAAAAGCCCTATAAATGCAAAGACTGTGGAAAATCCTTCTGCCAGAGTTCTTACTTGATCTTGCATAAGTGAACACATACCAGTGAGAAGCCCTATGAATGTAATGAGTGTGGGAAGGCCTTCAGCGACCGCTCATCACTTAACCAGCATGAGCAAACTCACACTGGTGAGAACCCCTATGAATGTAATCAATGTGGAAAGGCATTCAGCCAGAGTTCTTCCCTTATCACACATCAGAAAACCCACACTAGGAAAAAAAAACATATAAAATCATTGACTGTGGGAGAGCTTTCTGTAAGAGCAGCCACTTTATTGCATTTTAGACCTTGTTTGTTGTCATGTAAAATACTTTTTTAGCACTCTACCAAATAAATATGGTTAGACATTGCCCTCTCATGTCCTGTTTGAAAAAAAGTCGGCTCATGCCACATTCTTGAATGAAAGCCCTGAGATTTAGATCCCAGAGGGGCCTTTTAATGAGGGAAATTGCCACTGAGCTATGCCCAATGAGTTCCACCTTCTGGGAAAAGATCAATAAATGGGAATACTAACATGGAATGGGATTTTTGTAAGAATGATCATATCCATTGAGTTATTAAATTAAAAGGTATTCTGTTTCAACTTCTACTTTCAGTTGTCAATTTAAAAATTTTTTTAATCCTCACCCAAGGACATACTTGTTTATTAATTTATTTTTTTTTAGAGAGAGAGAAACATCAATGTGAGAGAGAAACATTGATCAGTTGCCTCCCATTTGGTATGCACCCTGAGCAGGGATCAAACCCACAATCTAGGTATGGGCCCTGATTGGGAATCGAACCCACAACCTTTTGGTGCATGGGACAGTGCTCCAACCAACTGAGCCACCCAGCCAGGGCTCAGTTGTCAATATTTTTGTTTCAATAATTATTCAATATTTTACTTAATTATTCCAATGCTGTTGGTCACTTAGTGAGGTCCTGACTTGTCCCACACCCTACTATAGCAATGCAGAGTGTATGTTAAGACAGAAAGTGTTTTGGGTGCAATGTGAAAAATATGGTGTAATATAGTATATGTAGTTCTATCCAGTAAAGTTGAAATATATACATACATGGGCAAAAGCTGGACAGAGATATGCAGAAATGAACAGTTTATTGGTCAGGGTTATGGGATTATATGTGATTTTTTGCTATTTCATTTGCAATTGCTGGTATCATTTTGTTGTTAATCCTCTCCTGAAAATATTTTTCCTTTTTTTTTTTTTATTAGATAGAGTGGAAGGGAGAGCAGGAGAGAGGGAGAAACATCAATGTGAGAGAGACATATTGATTGGTTGCTTCTCGCACAACCCCGACTGGGGCAGGGGATTGAACCTGCAACCCAGGTGTCCTTGACCAGGAATCAAACCCACAACCCTTCAGTCTTCAGGCTGACACTCTAACCTCTGAGCCAAACTGGCCAGGGCATGCTGGTATCATTTTGACAATAATTAAAAATCAAACAACACCAAGGGATATTCAGTTTCATTGATCAGTTAGGAAGGATAGTGGACACCAAGATGATGGGGATACAGTGCGGAAGGATTTGGGACAGGGAGAGGTGGAATGACCTTTGGTGGCCTGGGAAAAGTCTTAGTTGTCAGGTGTACTTGCCATAGTATAGGCCAAGGGCGCTATACACATCATCACTGCTATTATTAACATTTATTGGTGCTTACTGTATTCCTGGTGCCACTCCAGCACTTATGTTTCTTCATTTAACCTTCTCAACAACCCATGAAATAGTAGGAAGGGGAAACAGAAATAAAGTAACTTGCCCAAAGTCACACAACTGGAAAGTAGTGGAATCTGGATTTGAATTTGAGCAACCTGCACAAAGTCAATGCCACATTAGAAAGGAGGAATACAAAGGAGTTGTGTTTTCTTTTTTTGTTCTCACCTGAGGACATTCTTTGCATTTTTTTTTGATATTTTGTTCAGATAGAGTGGGAGGGGGAGAGAGAGAGAGAGAAACATCGATGTGAAAGGGACACATCGAGTGGCTGCCACCCACATGACCCAACCGAGGCCAGGGACAAACAGCAACTGAGGTACGTGCCTTTAGTGGGAACCGAACCTGGGTCTCTCCGGATTGCAGGCCGATGCTCTAACCGCTGAGCCAAACTGGCCAGGGCGAGTTGTGTTTTCTAAATTCTCCCTCAGAAGACATTTTCATCTGAATCTTCTCCTTTCCCTGGAGATAAAGAGGAAAGTTGCCTGTCAAGTGCCCTTTAATTTAAGTGGGACCTGATCACATGAATATGGTTGTTTTTCCTTAAAGTAAAGATCCTTTATTTGGGGTCTGTGTAGACCATACTGAGTTGATGGATACAAAGTGTGTGTTGGGGCATAGATGTCCTTTCTGGGGAAAGCATCTATGGCTTTCACCATATTCTTAGGCATAGTTGACTTAGAGGTGTCATGAGTGCACTGTTTTTCAGTTTTGATCTCTCCCCTCTGCCAACAAGTATTTATAGAGAACCTGAACTCTTTGTGTTAACAGTGGCTGTAAGACAGACATATATTTCAGTGGTGAGGAAGCAGGGCGGCTTCATGGGCATGCGATCCAAGGCTGCTCTCAGAAAGGTCCTGTGATTGCTTTAATACTCTGCTGTACACATCTTAGTGTTATTAATAATTTTGAAAGGGTCTCCCCTAAATTTTTATTTTGCACTAAGCTCTACATGTTCTGTAGCCAGATCCATGATGGAGTGAGGGGCAGGGACAGATATTAAACAAGTAACCAAATACTCTAATTAAATAATTACAGATTTTGGTACATTCTTTAGAGCATAAAAACAGAATGCTGCTGTAATAGATAATGAGAGGGACCAACTGCAGATAGGGCCTTTCTGAGGGTCTGAATTTAACTTGAGATGTGAATCATTGCAGCAATCAAGATGAGGAATTTAACCAGAGGAGAATTTAAGTTTAGCTCTGTTTTTACATGTCGTTTTATGATCATTAAAAAAAATTTTTTTTACAGTTTTGTTTTAATTGCTCTGACTAAAAAGTATTTTGAGAGAGAATATACTTTTTTAAACTTCTGGGTGTTTAAATGTTCTTTCCCCATCTTTAAAAAAACAAATTATTTTTCTTGTCTTATTTCACAGGCTTACTCCTTTAGTACTATGTTGAATGGGGGTGTTGAGAACAGATTTCCTTGCTTTGTTTCTGATCTTAGGGAAAATCATTCAGTCTTTCACCATAGAGTGTGATGTTAATTGTAGGATTTTCACACTCTTCATCCTTATTTTTTAAATTGAATTTCTTCTTTTATTATGCTGTAGTTTGAGAATGTTTCTACTGTTTTGAATCTTTGAAAGTTATTGAGGTTTAGAAGTATTTTGTAGATATTGAAAAGCAGATGGGTTCTCAGCTTTTGTGATTAAGAATCTGGCTTGTCTATTAAATCAATCTTATTAAACAATGGCTCTCAAATTTTTTTTTTTTTTTTTTTTTTTTTATCCTCACCTGAGGACATTTTTCCATTTTTTGTTCAGGTAGAGTGGGAGGGAGAGAGAGGAACAGAGAGAGAGAGAGAAACATCGATGTGAAAGGAACACATCGAGTGGCTGCCACCCGCACAACCGACCAGGGCCGGGGACAAACTGCAACCGAGGTACGCGCCCTTAGCGGGAACCGAACCTGGGTCTCTCAGGACCACAGGCCGACGCTCTAACCGCTGAACCAAACTGGCCAGGGCATGGCTCTCAAATTTTATGTTAGGCTATAGCCACTGAGCCAAACTGGCCAGGGCAATTTCAAATTTTTAAATTTCTTGTATCTCTCTTTTTAACATACAGAGGGATTATGTTTTAGGATCCTTTTCTTTTGGTGTAATGTTTTTGGCTTTAATTCTGTTAACATTTTATGTCATTTTTCTTATTTTTGAAGTTTCTTTTTCTCTTTATTTTTTATTGTATTATTTGTATTGGAGGAGCGTATTTATTTTCTGATAATTTGGAAGGTGCATTCTCTGCTTTAATTTCTTTCGGCATTTTATTTTATTACATTAACTTATATATTGTGATTTAACATTAAGCAGTTTTCTTTTTTAATCTTTATTGTTGAAAGTATTACAGATGTTCCCCCTTTTTTCCTCCATTGGCCTAAACAGTTTTGAAGGATAAGAAAGTCCAGTTATGGAGTATGTATAGGATAATAGCATATTTATAACACTTGAATATAGGGATGGTAATGTTATATATAGTTTATGGATCTGTGTATGGCATGGCAGTAATAAACATCATGCTTGTGAATATGGTTTCCTCTGGGAAGAGATGGAGAGGAATAGGATCCTGGAGGTAATACACAGGGCATTTCGATTCTATCTATAATGTTTTTGTTCCTTCAAGAAATTTGACAGAGTATGGTGAAGTGATAGGATTCCATACAGCTTAGCAGTAGATACATGAGTATTCAAAATGTTATTCCTTGAATATTTTGTATTTTTGAAAAGTTTCATAATAGTTTAAAAGTGTTCCCTCCCTTCTCACTGGGTTGCAATTTTAATTAATATAAGCCTTCATAAGGAATGCAAAAATCAACTCTCCTTATGTTTTGCAAATGGATGCTTAAGGTTTGGGATAAAAATTCAGAATATCGTCTATCCAAAAAGTGCTATTTTAAAAAAGGGAAAAAAGTGCTATATTTCAGACACAAAGACACTAAGGTGTTGTTCTCTGAAAAAGGTCAAATCGCTCCAAGATGTGTTGTAGTAGGAGCAGAGTCATGTTGAAAGAGTATATGAGACGTTCACAGTTGTTGCATGAAGGATGAGATTGGAAATAGGAGTTATTTGTGCCACTTATTAAGTTAGTTTCTCTGCTTCAGACCCATTATACGAGTTTCTTGTTATTGCTGTAACAGATTACCACACTTAGTGACTTAAAACAACCTATTTATACATATAACAGTTCTGGAGGCTAGAGCCTAAAATCGAGGTGTGGGTAGGTTGATGTTTGAGGTGTGGGTAGGTTGATGTTCTTTCTGGAGGCTCCAGGCCAGACTCATTCCAGGCCTTTTCCAGCTTCTAGAGGCACCACATCCCTGACTCTGACCTTCTTGCCTTCCTCTTATGAGGCTCCTTGTGATGATACTGGGTCCCCCAGGGAATCCAGGGTCATCTCCATTTTAGGGTTCTTAACCCAATCCCGTCTGCAAAGTCCCTTCTGCCATGGGAGGTGACATAGTCATAGGTTCCAGTGACTAGGTGGTGCATACCTACAGGGGGCTGTCATTCTGCTGGCCACCACATACCCTTTCATACTTTGGTTTGTGACATGGGGTGGAAGTGCTGCAAAACATGTTTCTATGTTGCCAGTGGCTTCCCATTAGGCTCTGCCAATGGGAGACCTTGAAGGGAGGGTGAAAGGCTGGAGGAGAGACAGGGGATTTGTTCTGTCCTGGCCCTCTCACTCCTCACATGTTTGAAACTGGCTTTGTTTTCTCTGCTTGAATAACATTCTAGCATGGTCCAGGTATTTTTTTATTTTTTTATTTTTTATCATCCTCACCCAAGGACATTTTTCCATTTTTTGTTCAGGTAGAGTGGGAGGGAGAGAGAGGAAGAGAGAGAGAGAAACATCGATGTGAAAGGGACACATCGAGTGGTCGCCACCTGCACAACCAACCAGGGCCGGGGACAAACTGCAACTGAGGTATGTGCCCTTAGCGGGAACCGAACCCGGGTCTCTCCGGACCGCAGGCCGATGCTCTAACCGCTGAGCCAAACCGGCCAGGGCAAGGTCCAGGTATTTTTAATCACACTTTTTTCCTCTCCGATTGCCATAGTTGTTACTCTCTTGTGACAATGAATGTTTTGTCAAGAATTCAGAGACCGGCCTCATTTTTCACCTTAATAAATGAAATGACATGTTCTTTAAGAGTGATGCTCCTAGGATAGATCTCTGAACATGTTATGGCCAGCAGACAGGAGTGCTAGAGATCCATGTCAGGACCCAATCTGAAGGCCAACTTCTAAATTCCATGCTGATTTGTTGAAACTTGGAAATAATTAGTAATGCATATTAAACAAAAATGCATATAACCTTATTTTATTTATTTATTTTTTTATCTTCACCCGAGGACATTTTTGCATTTATCTTCAGATGGAGCGAGAAGGAGAGAGGGGGGAAGAGAGAGAGAAACATCGATGTGAGAGAGACACATTGACTGGTTGCCACCCACATGACCCCAACCGGGGCCGGGGACAAACTGCAACCAAGGTACGTGCCCTAAGCAGGAATTAAACCCAGGTCTCTCTGGTCCGCGGGCCGACACTGTAACCACTGAGCCAAACTGACCAGGGCTATTTTTAATAGTTTATAAATCCAATGAGTAGTTTGTTGTTGTTGTTAATCCTCACCTGAGGATATTTTTTCTATTGATTTTTACAGAGAATGGAAGGGAGGGAAGGAGAGGGGGAGAGAGAGACATTGATTGGTTGCCTTCTGCATGTGCCCCAACCTGGGCAGGGATCGAACCTGCAACCAAGTACATGCCCTTGACTGGAAATTGAACCCAAGACCCTTCAGTTTGAGGGCTGAAGCTCCAACTACTAAGCCATACCAGCCAGGGCAGTTATTTTTAACTCGAAGTTTTAAATTTTATTAAAAATTTTTATTGATTTTAGAAAGAGAGAAGAAGGGATATATATAGAGAGAAACATTGATTTGTTCTACTTGCTTATGCTTTCATTGGTTGTTTCTTCTAGGTGCCTTGACCTGGGATCAAACCCTCAACCTTGTTATATTGGGTGGATGCTCTAATCAACTGAGCTACCCAGCCAGGGCAACTCGAAGCTTTTTTTATGTGTTAGTCCTCTAAACACTAATTTTTTATAAAATCATATTAAACCTTTCTGGAAACCATAAAAGAAGAATTTTTAAAATTCTGTTTGTAAAAAAATGACAAGTGATATCAGAGTTTGGATGACCGCTTAATCTCAAAGGAGAGAATGTTTTCTAACAGTAGCAGGCATATTAAATGCATTAGCCTCCATCTAGTAAGTGTATTAAGAGTTTTCAGGTCTATCCCAAATTTATATAAGCTTTTTTGCTGTTGTTTTATATCAGTTAAAATAGGAATTCAACTGCCTTAGGGATAAAATAGCCTTTTAAAAAAGTGAACATTAAAAAATTGTGGTAAAATACACATAATACAATTTAATGGTGTTAGGTACATTCATACTGTTGTGCAGTATCAGAGCTATTTCATTTTCAAAATTCTCTTGGAATACATTGAAAGTCTGTTCTGATAGAAATTTCCTTGTGGTGCAAATGCACACTGAGAATTCTAATATCTCACCTGCGGCTGTGCAGTGAGGAGCCCTGTGTGCAGGTTGATGCCGCAGGGCTCCACTTCCTACTTTGGGGGACAAAAAACAGGGATCTCTGGTTGCTGACCTCAAGCTTCATCGTGAGGGCAGAGGGCGGGGCCTCCCGGTGTCAAATGTCACGTCAAAATCAAGTGGGACCCTTTAATGCAGGGGACCCTGGAAACGTAACAGTTGAGTGTCTTTGTTTTTAAACAAGGGTCACAGGTCAAGGGTGCTTGCCCTGGGCTGACCCCAGATCAGGAGACCCTCCTGTTCTATTCTGGCTCCGGACAGAGGGCGCTTGGTGAAGAAACAGAGAACTTCCTGGTCCACGGGGAGGACTCAGATGGGGCTATGAGCTGCGGGTGGATGCGTAGGGGCAGGGAGAGGGTTCTGCTCTGAGCCAACGCCCTAGGCTGTGGCCAGCCAAGAGTGTCCCCATGGCCTGTCCCTCAGGATGGGGTGGGGGGGAGGCTGAGATAATTTTTAAAAGCGATAGGGGCAGCCCTAGCCATTTGGCTCAGCCGTTGGAGCATGGGCGCGGACTGAGGAGTCACGGGTTCGATTCCAGTCAACTGCAGGGACTTCGGTTGCAGTCTCTCCCTGGCCCTGGTCGGGGTTTGGGGGAGGCAACCAGTCAATGTGGCCCTCTCACGTCCATGTTTCTCTCTCTCCCCCTCCCACTCTATCTGACAATAAATAGAAAAATAAACTAGGGTGAGGATGTATATATATATTTTTATTCTCACCTGAGGACATTTTCTATTTATCTTCAGATAGAGTGGAAGGGAGGGAAAGAAACATGGACGTGAGAGAGACATATCCAGTGGTTGCCACCCATACACCCCAGTTGGGAACAAACTGCAACTGAGGTACGTGCCCTTAGCGGGGAACCGAACCCAGGACTCTCTGGTCCACAGCCGATGCTTTAACCGCTGAGCCAAACCGGCCAGGGGAATATATATACATATATATACACATATATGTATATGTATATATATGTGTGTGTATGTGTGTGTGTGTGTGTATATATATATATAAACACACAGGCAGCCCCTGCCGGTTTGGCTCAGCGGTTGGAGCCTCGACCTGCAGACCAGAGAGGACCGGGTTCGGCTCGGCTAAGGGCATGTACCTGGGTTGCGGTTCCTCCCCTGCCCAGTTGGGGTCGTGTGGGTGGCAGCCACTGCATGTGTCTCTCTCAAATGGATGTTTCTCTCTCTTCCTCCCTCTTTCCCTCCCGCTTTATGTCAAGATAAATGCAAAAATGTCCTCCAGTGAGGATTCTTAAAAAAGGATAGGCTCAGCCCTGGTCCGTTTGGCTCAGCGGTTGGAGCGTCTGCCTGCGGTCCTGAGAGCCCCGGTTGGGTTCCCGCTAAGGGCATGTACCTCGGTTGCAGTTTGTCCCCGGCCCTGGTTGGTTGTGCGGGTGGCAGCCACTCGATGTGTTCCTTTCACGTCGATGTTTCTCTCTCTCTCTCTCTCTCTCTGTTCCTCTCTCTCCCTCCCACTCTACCTGAACAAAAATGGAAAAATGTCCCCGGGTGAGGATAAAAAAAAGGATAGGCTCAGTGCACAGAAAACGGTCAGGAATGCAGGGGCGGGGCCCACAGAACTGTCCAATCAGAGGTTCCAGGAGCGGGTATGTGGAACTGTCCAGTCAGAGGCCCACGGACATGGGCGTGCCCGATATACCGACCACTCAAGACGCAGGATCTGAGCCACGTCCAATCAGAGATCCCGTGGAAGGGAGAGAGCGTGGATGCTGCTCTCAGCAGATCGCTGCGTTGGTGCCTACCTGCCCCGCGCAGCCCCAGGTGTCAGATCCCGGTAGCTCACACCTGCCTGGGCCGCGGGGAGGACGCTTTGAGAGCCGGGAGATGGTGAGTGCGCAGGGCGAGACCCACACTCAGAGGAGCTGGTTCTAACCGGCGGGAACCTGCTGGAAGTGGCCGCGGGCCAGGACTCCCCGCGCGCCCGGATGTCTCGACCCGAGTCTCCCCTTCGGCGCGGGGTGGAGTCCTGGCGTCCTGTGCGGCCTCTGCGCTAGATCCGGAGTCTCAGGACCGCGGCCTAGGGTGCCTCAGATGCAGAGTGCTGCACCTACCCGGGGGCGGGGAGTAGCCCCTGGTCGGCTCCTCCCAGGGGACAGCCTGCGGGTTGGGCGGGAGTCTGGGGAGAACTGCCTGGGGGCCCCAAATTGGGACGGATCTCTGGTAGGTTCTCGGCCCCTAGCTGACGCTGACCCCCGTTATTATTCCCTGGAGGGACACAGTTGTTAGCTTACAAGACGCTTGTATTGAGGAGAAAAAGATGGAAATGATTCGGGCCCCTGAAGGGAGAGAAACTAACCCAGAAGACTGAGAAAGGCCACCCAGTGAGGTGGAGCAGTCACCTGCAAAGCCACCTGCTCTTAAGACATAGCGAGACACCAGCCTGTGTCCTTTGTTCGGAGACCACGTCAGTGAACAGTGGGGGAGGGGTCTCCCACGAGATAGGATAGCTGCACTGGACTCTTGAGTCTGAAGTCGTCTGTATGTTCCAGTTCAGCACTGCCCTTCTCTGGATTTGTCACCTTGAAAAGGTGTACATATTCACTTATTGGAGCCTCGGTTTTTCAGCAGATATATACTACTTTTAATTAATTGAGCAGGAAAGTTAAAATATTTCCTAAGAGTTGAATTTCAGGGGGAGAAAAAAGAAAGTGTCTTTTATTCCATTTGTTAAACCTTCTTCTGTTCCTTTGAGTATAAGAAATGGAATTCCAGGGCTTAGCCTTGAAGGTCCTACCACAAAAAAGACTGTCAGAGAAAACCTCCCTTCCAATATGGCAGCAGAGAATTGAATACATTTCCACATAGTGTGGTAGGTGAATTGTTGAATTATAGAGAATATCAGTTTTTTTTCTTGTCAGGGTGAAGAATTTTTGACAGTAGGTAAAACTGTTGTTTACTGTTATCTGTAATACACTTTACTTTAATCTACAGTAAATTGATATTGTCTATGGAGGAAGTGGGAGCAAAACATCTTTGTTATTTAGATAACTTTTGTCACTGTCTCATGTATTATTTTGTAATTTCTGCCACTGTTCTGCGATGGCTGCCCTGTTGTGAATGAATAGATGAGGACCCACTTCAATTTGTTGTTTCTTTCCATGGATTTAGTTGTCCATTCCTCTTCTAATTCCATCATGTTAGTATTACTATGGCTTTACAATCCTTGCTTTGTGATAGGCAGGCCCCTGCCTTGTTCTTCAGAACATTTGGGCTCTTTTAGGATATTTGTTTTTCCTGTTAGGTTTGTAAATTCAGTATTTTTCAAGTCCTAAAAATCTGGTTTGGAGATTTAATGGAATTTTATGAAGACTTTAGGTCTTTTTTTGGAGGGTTGATATTTTGCTGACACCAAGTTCTATACTTTAAGAACATGTGCCATCTTTCTATTTATTTCTTTTTACTTTGTTATTTTTATTAATGTTAAAACATTTTCCCATTTGGTTCTTATTATAGCATTCTTTAGACTTATTCAGTACTAATTAAATTTTGGTTTTTACCATAGTATGTGTTGTCATTTTGAAATTATTTTTCCAACTTGCTGATAATTAAAAAGGTAATGAAATGTGTTTTTATATTGAATTTTTACACTGGATTGTTATTAAAAATCTTATCCTGTTATTATTTTTCTGTCCTGTTGGTGTCCTACACATACAATTCATAGAGGTAGGTGTAAAGACAAGGTTTTTTTCTCTTTTAGTTCTTGCACATTTGTTTTCTGCTTGATCTGGAATGACACTCTAGTATGTTGATCAGGAAGGAGGTCCTGAGCATACTTGATTTGTCCCTAATTGTTTTGGAGAAAACAACATTATACTATTTAAAAATATATATTTTCATTAATTTTTAAAGAGGGAAAGAGAGAAACATTGATGTGAGAGCTGAGAGCTAAACATCAATCGGCTGCCTCCTGCACACCCCCTACAGGAAACTGAGCCCACTACCCATGCATGTGCCCTGACAAGGAATTGAACTAGCAACCTGGCAACTTTTTGGTGCACAGGACTAGCCTAACCAACTGAGCCACACCGGCCAGGGAAACATTATACCATTTATATATTCTTTGTTATTTTTTGAATATTCTATTATCAATTTTCCTTGATCAAGCTATGCACATGACCATCTCTTCCAGTAGTAAGATGTATGACTGTTGAATATTATAAAATAGTTTTCAGCAATTCCTAAGATGATTACAGGCAAATCATATAAATTGACTTTTGAGTTTTCTATTGTATAATATCAGTGTAGGAAAATGTATATGACATGTACAGTTGACAAATATTAATAAATAATCATTTGTGAAATGAAATTCAGCCCTAAATGTAGAACAGGCTTTCACACCAGATACCCCACTTGAAATGAACCCCAATGGCAGGCTCCCTCACTCTGATATGTGTAACCAATATGTTGAATCATGAAGATATATATACATATATATTATATATAATAAATATATATACACACACACATATATAATTATATACACACAAATATTTTTAAGCAATTTAGGAATCAATTTGAAGTGTTATTTCTTTTCTTTATTATTATTTTTTTATTAATTAATTAATTTTGTTACAGATGTTTCTCCTTTTCCCACCACTGATTCCCCCTCCCATCTCCCTCTTCACCTTGTCCCCAGCTTTGTTGTTCATGTCCATTGTTCATGCATACATGCATATAAATTCTGTGGCTTATCTTTCCCCCACTCTAGGGATTGTCAGTCTGTACCTCACTTCCACGTCTCTGGTACTACCCTATTCCTCAGACTGTTATGTTCATTATGTTCCACAAATAATTGAGATCATATGATACTTGGCTTTCTCTGTTTGGCTTGTTTCACTTAGGATAATACTTTCCGGGTCCCTCCATGTTGTCTCAAAGGATAAGAGGTCTGTCTTTCTTACAGCTGCATAGTACTTCATTGTGTATATGTACCACAGCTTTTTTATCCATTCGTCTACTGATGGACATTTGGGCTGTTTCCAGATCTTAGCTATTGTAAATAGTGCTGCTATGAACATGGGGATACATATATTCTTTTTGATTGGTGTTTCAGGGTTCCTAGGGTATAGTCCTAGAAGTGGGATCACTGGGTCAAATGGCAGTTCCATTTTTAATTTTTTGAGGTAACACCATATTGTTTTCCACAGTGGTTGCACCAGTCTGCATTCCCACCAGCAGTGTACTAGAGTCCCCTTTTCTCCACACCCTTGTCAACACTTATTGTTTAATGATTTGTTGATGGCGGCCATTCTGACAGGTGTGAAGTGATATCTCCTTGTTGTTTTAATTTGCATCTCTCTGATGATTAGTGATGTTGAGCATTTCTTAATATGTCTCTTGGACATTTATATGTTCTGTTTGGGGAGGTGTCTAGTTCCTCTGCCCATTTTTTAATTGGGTTCTTTGTCTTCCTTTTGTTGAGTTGTATGAGCACTCTATATATTTTGGAAATTAACCACTCATCTGATATATCATTGGCAATTATGCTCTCCCATACAGTGGGTTGCTTTTTCATCTTGATGATTGTATCTTTTGCTATGTAGAAGCTTTTTAGTTTGATGTAGTCCCATGTGTTCATTTTTTCCTTTGTTTCAGTTGCCTTAGGTGATATATCAGTGAAAATTCTGCTTCATATGATGTCTGAAATTTTGTTGCCTACATTTTCTTCTAGGATTTTTATGGATTCACAGGTCACATTTAAGTCTTTTATCCATTTTGAGTTTATTCTTGTGTATGGTGTAAGTTGATGGTCTAGTTTCATTTTTTTTTGCATGCAGCTGTCCAATTTTCCCAACACCATTTATTAAAGAGACTATCTTTACTCCACTGTATGCTCTTGCCACCTTTGTCAAATATTAATTGAGCGTATTGCCTTGGGTCCATTTCTGGGTTCTCTGTTCTGTTCCACTGGTCTATATGCCTGTTCTTGTGCCAGTACCAGGCTGTTTTGATTACAGTGGCTTTGTAATATAACCAGAAATCTGGTAATGTGGTCCCTCCAACTTTGTTCTTCTTTTTCAAGATTGCTGTGGCTATTCGAGATCTTTTTTGGTTCCATATGAACTTTTGAAATATCTGTTCTAGTTGCGTGAAGTATGTCGTTGGTATTTTGATGGGGATTGCATTGAATCTATAGATTGCTTTGGGTAGTATGGACATTTTAATGATGTTAATTATTCTAATCCATGAACAAGGTATGTGCTTCCACTTTTTTATATCTTCCTCTATTTCTTTCTCAATGACCTGTAGTTTTCTGCGAATCGGTCCTTTATTTCTTTCTTTGGTTAAGTTTATTCCTAGGTATCTTAATTTTTTTGCCGCAGTGGTAAGTGGCATTGCAGTATTATTTCAAAGGGGTTTTAAAATTGTTTTTTATCTTTCAACCAGTCATTCATATTTATATTGATATTTATACACACACACACAAATACACATGTAAAGATATATATCTCGCTCCTGATCCCCTCATTGTGCCACATTTTTCTTAGTACTTATATTTGATTTGCTCATTTATTGTTTTCCTCCAAAAAAATTTAAGATCCATGTGGTTCAGAATTTTTTTGTTCTGTGCTGTAACCCTAGTGCCTGCAAGTACTAGGACCCATGTCACTGTAACCTAAGTCAGTTTTACGAAATAAAAGAACCAGAGGTAAGATCTTCAAACAAAACAGTCTTTCATAAGATACAGGGCTTTGCCAGGAAAGGAGCATAAGGAGGTAAGCATGGACTAGGATGCTTCTGTTGGCTCTGCTCCATAGTGCCAGGCAAAATCTAGCTTATCTCCTTATCACACTGGGAAATAACAGTCACAATAACAAAACAGCTGT